GGTGCCTGCAGGTAGCACATCATTTCAGCAGGTCAAAGACTTCAGGCTAGGTCATCAAACAGGTTTTTGTATACTCAGACAATAAATATAGGAATGCCAAAGGCAAGTCATTTCAGTTATTTCTAAATCCCTGAATCAATTAACTCAATTAACTTTCATGGAGGAATTTGTGAACCAGAAGTTTGCTTTTAAGCTTTTTTTTTTTCTTTTAGATTTATTTATTTTGAGAGAGAGAGTGAGCAAGCAGTGTGGGGGGGCAGAGAGAGTGCGAAAAAAAGTGAAGCCCAAGCAGGCTCTGCACTGTCAACATGGAACTGTATGTGGGGCTCAAACCCGTATACTGTGAGATTATGACTTGAGCCAAAACCAAGAGTTGGGCGCTTAACTGACTGAGGCACCCAGGCACCCTACTCTCATCTTTTTATTTTTAATCATAAAGACTAATATCCCATGAAGTTAGAAAGTAGTTGAATTGGTCTTCAGATGTAAAGGCAGTCACAAGCATCTCACTGAGGCAAAACAAAACAAAATGCTGCCTCTTCCCTTGTATTCTTACTTGATCCTATAAACCAATAGATGATATCTGTGATGAATGAAAACCACAGACCAGTTGATACATTTCATGTGTGAAATAGGAAAATCTTTCTTTTTTTTTTTTACTTTGGTTTTGTAAAAGTTGCCTTTGTCAGATTCGATTCTCTTTTCAAGGCAGGCTAATTTTATCTTTTAGTCAAATTTATTTCTTCTGTATCCACCCTACCACTGCCCTAAAAGGCCATCATCATTATCTCTCAAACCTAACTTCAAACTTAACTGCTAATCTGTCTTCAAGCAGCTGTTAGAATGACCTACATGAAACACTAACTAGCCATGTTACTCCCCTTGCCTGAAACCTTTCCAACCCAGCAGTTGCTGTAACTACCTGCAACATGAAGGTCAAGGTCCTCCTTCCATGGTCTGGTTTCTGATTTCTTTTCAAGCTTCATCTGTTTCTCAATTCTAAATCCCTGCAACTTAGCAGTGCTAGAAGTTTCCTACATGTATCATGCCTTTGCTCGCATAGGACATAGAATGCTCACTTCCTTCTCAGCCTGGCTAAGAATTAGAACACCAACTTAGGTGGTATAATTTTGTGGCCAATGGAATGATTTTGAAATCTATCAGAGTAGTGTTTATGTCCCTCTGCTGCATATTATGTTTGTGAATTCTAACAAACTGTTACCCTGCCAAAGCCTGAATTTCCCCATCTCTAATAAAGAAGGTATAATACTGATTATAGAGTTGTTTTGAAGATTGAGAGAATATTTGTAAAATGCTTACACAAATATGTGGCACATAAAAAGTCCTTTTAAATGTGTATAAATCACTTGCCACATGAAGAATTTTCTGAGATCTCTCTATCCCCTGACTGTGGAAGGTGACTCTCTCTTCTAATATAACAACCTGTCCACATTTCTATCATAGCAATTACAATGTTGTAATACAATTATCTTTTATATAATGGCTTTATTCCCTTGATTGTGAATCCTTTCAGTACCATAACCACATCTATTTCATTTTTGCACCCCTGAATTAATACTGTGCTCTTGGATACTTACTTGAACTTCTACAAAACGTAAATACGCACCTCACATACTATTCTGTGACTGTGAACTGTTTCTCTCATTTCACAAGAGTATCCTACTTAGTGTGTTGAGTGCTTTCCTCAGCTATTTTATTTCCTACCCTCTGACTTCAAAAACTCCACAGTTTTTGTGATCACCTTTTTATATATGGTTTGCAAAATTCTAGCCCTGAACTTTTTTCCCAAGCTTCTGTTAGGTACTGAATATCTAAATGTCACATTCTAGTAAACATGAATTCCATTCTCCAATATACCAAAGCTAGAAAATGTGAAGTCATCTTGGACTCCTACCTCTTTCTACATCAAATTAATCCTGTTAATTCTATCTCGAAAATATCCGCCAATTCCTCTTTCATCCCTATTCTCTGCCAGTGACTCATTCAGGCCCTTAGTGTGTCTCACTTAGATTACAAAAATCCGAGCCTCTTCTCTCTCTCTCTCTCCATTTCTGTTTCATCACTTCATTTGCTTTCCTCTTCAGCCTACTTACCACTGTTAGAGAAGGCCTCTGAAAACAAAAACCTGATGTGTTATTTCCTTGCATATAGTACAGTAACTTCTGTGCAAGATAATGGTGAAATACTAACTAGCAAGACCTTTTGTGAAGTTCTTCACCAGCTTGACTGAAATTGTTTTTTCCATACATATCTCCTGCCTCTTTTCTCCCTCTTTCCTCAAATACCTTCAGTGTTGTAATACAAAAATATTTATAAAGCCCTAATTTGAAAATACATGACTATCATCACAGATTTTAAAAACTGACTTAAAAAATAAATTCGAAAGCTGTATTTTTCACTGGAGACACATGGTGGCACCATTTTAGTGCCTAACAGCAGTATTGAGATCCTTTGTTAACATCCTCTAGATATGCTTCTAAATTTGTGCAAGTGCTTGTGAGGACTGCTGTAGTGTCATTTTAAACATTATTAACAGTATGCCAGTGTTAAAATGCTTCACAGTGACTTTGAGGCAAATTTAGAGGTGCTAAAATTATTTATGTATTATGATTTTATTTACTATTCCCTTTGTTATGGGCTAGTGTTCCCCCAACCTCCAAATTCATATGTTGATGTCCCAACCACAGTGCACCTCTGAATGGGGCTGTATTTGAAAATAAGGTCTTTAAAGAGGTAATTGAGAATGAGGTTTTTAGGGTTGGCCCAAATCTAAAATGACTGGTGTGCTTATAAGAGGAGATTAGGACAGAGGGAAGATCATGTAGACACAGGGAGAAGACAATCACCTATTAGCCAAGGAGAGAGGAGGCCTCAGGAGAAACCAGCCCTGCTGACACCTTGATCTCAGACTTCTATAGACTCCAGAACTGTGAGAAAACACATTTCTATTGTTTAAGCCAACCAGTCTGTGGTACTTTGTTATTGCAGCCCTAGCACACTAATAAGCCCTTCAAATATGTTTTAAAATACATGTATGCAATATACATAAATACAATAGCTGTGAATTGATGTAATATGTAAGGAGGTAATCTCCCTATTATGTCGTTATTCATGAGGGAGAGGATTCTTCATTTATGCCAGATTTTAATTATGTGAGCTCTTCAGAAGTCCCCGCCTCAAGTAAAATGCTTCTGTCCCAAATCTTGCCCAATTCCCTCTACTGACCATGAACTCAACAGTTCATGTGTTTTTACTCATCAGACTTTAATGGAATGGTTAAGGGTGCAGACTTTGGAGCTACACTGTTTGGGCTCATAGCCCACTTCATCACTAACTGGCTAACTGTGGGCAGTTTCTTAAAAAGTCTCATTTTCTCAGATGTCTGTAAGAAATAGTCACAAGAATACCTGCATTAAGGGACCCTGTAAGGCTTAAACAAGCTGATAAAAACAAAGTGGGTAGAGTAGCACTGGGAACATAGTGGGTGCAATTATGCTATCTGTAATCCTCTGTATGGTTAAACTCTAGTGAAACTTTTGATCTTTCCAGGCTCAGAGGAAAATATACCTCCCCTTGGAAACTTTACTGACTCAATGTCCACTTTCTTCCCAGACTGAAAACTAAATAAACTTGTGCTGTCAAAAATATCACAGAGGGATGAGCTTTGGTTTCAAATACAGATTTTTCCATTTACCTATTATGTGATTTCAGACAATTTGCTTAATTTCTTTGAGTTCCCATATCAAGTACAGTACCTGACACAACAAATGCTCAGTGAGTATTTTTCTAAGTGAGTATAGATCTGTGGGTTTGGGATTGTAGCCTCAACCCCATAAGATATTGCAGTGTTCCCAGAGTGTGGGACTGATGGAGCAAGCAAAATGATTTTAGGTGAGACAGACATGGCATCAAGAACACTAAATCATACAGAGAAAATTCTTTCAATTTTATTTCCATAATGCTAATTAGGTCAAGGAGAAAAATCTTTGTTTAGTGCTATGTTTCTAAATTCTTCTGTAATGCCTGCTAATCTATGTTTGCAATCAAGTGAGATTCAGAATCTTTCACAGGTAATATCTTAGCACTGAATCACATTAAAAAAAATTAATTACTTAGTGCTTTTTCAATTTATGGTAATGATACAAATTTTTCTTTTAAAATAAATTATCAAAGGTAATTTGATTTAAATAAAAATATTAAGTATGTAATAGAATTATAAAGATATATGAGAACAATGAAAATAATATTCAAATTACTGCAGTTTGGGCAAAACTGATTTCTATAAAGTACTTTTCGTGTTCATTGTACTTCAAAGTGGCTGTTAACGACAGTAGTAATTAGTGTTGTAACAAGTACTGTTTTGATTAATAGTAGTCTAAGAACAAAATAGAACAAATTCAACAGTGAACTCAACGCATACTGCTGTTATCATTGTTCTACATCAAACACTAGATATTCCAAAAAAGCTCAAGGGTGATAGCGGGGGACAGACACTGATCTCTTATCATTATCACCCACCTTACTTAGCCAGAGTCCTGCCCTCTGCAAGATCAGTATTTGCTGAAATCCTAACTTGAAGATGATGGAGACTTCTGGGAGTTCAGGGTGTTAACTTTTTTTCCCCTTCCCTTCTGACCCAAACTTCCCCAGGATACATTATTGCAATTAATTTTACCACGCGTTTCCTTACCATGCACTAAAATATTAGCAATATCACTAACAACAAGGGGACACTATTTCGATTTTCAGGCTTCCAAAAACGGTTGCAATATTATTTGCCATCTGATGGGAAGCTAAATAAAGGTCAATACTGTTTTGAGTTCAAGACCGACACTGCTCGGGAGAGCGCTTTCCTTCACGTGACTTCCTCACAGCCCTGCGCGCTGGCTTTCCGGCGTCAGGACGTCGTGCGACGTGCGGGCGCCGAACAGCGGCGCTGCGTCTCCAGCGTCGCGCCGGAGCCACCAGTTGGGCGGAGCTGGCTCCCGCACTTTTACTTCTCCGCGGGAGTAAGAACGTTCGCGGCTTTTCGCCACATCTTAGCCGCGGGCGTCTGGTAGGAAGTCGCGCTACTGGCGATGGCGCAGACCCGTCTCGAGATCCAGACCTGAAGCCCCCGTCGCGCAGAGGGATGGGGACTCTTGTGGGTCGGGGCTGGTGGCACGGCCGGGCGCTGACAGTGTGGGCCACCGAGGCCGCACAGCGGGGGCGCCTGGAGTCTCGCCCCGTGCCGGCCCGCGGGACTCCCGCCGAATTCAGGGCTCGGGACAGGCTCTGCAGCTCTGCCGAGTTGAAGGTGACCGCCGTTAGGCTCTAGTTGACTCTGTTTTAAAATTCGGGAGGGCGCTCCTTGCGGGTTTGGAAGCGTGAAGGGCTTCCTAGACTTCCCGTGGACGCCCGTGGCGATCCTGTAAAGGCGGCAGAGCTGAGAGCGCGAGCTGCGCTCTGAATCCTCCACCGCTCACCAATGTGACCTTGGACAAGTCACTTCCCGAGTTTCCTAGTTTGTAATGTTGGTAACTGACTTCCTGTTTATTTTGTTTTATGTGACCCCAAACAAAGTTGTTTTCTGATCCTTTGTGCTTGTGATGGAGAAGGCGCACTGTTTGAGAACTGTGAAGAATATGGTACGGTATAGGCAGAAAAGTAAAGTAATTGGATGCAAGTTAGGAATAACCGGAAACAAATAAGACTTGCATATGATTAATTGCCCTCTTCTAAAATGCCTGTGGAATGTAAAATGGATTTATGTTGCAAATTTCAAGTTCTTAAAAGTGGTGTGGTCCTGTAGATCTTTTTAATTGAATGGCAATTAAAAGGTGGGCGTGGGAGAAGGGGAATCCCTTGAACAAAGCACAGTTTTTCCTTAGAATTTCTTTCACACATAAATTGTACCTTCATTGTCTGCTTTATTAGAGCATTTATAAAGGTCACGGGTATTGTGGATTTCATTGTAATTTTTATTTTGCTGGTTATGAAATACAGATTTGATTGGAAAAATAAAATAGAGTACAAAAAAACCTGACATACTCTACTTGAATACCCATTTTTAGCAGTTTGCAATGAGTCTTCCAAGAATTAGAAAAGATGTATGCAACTAAAACTCTGGAGTGACCTCAAATTTAAAAATTTTAAATGACAAGAGGTTTTATTTGTTTTTTGAGAGTTCTTTCTGTGGTTATTAACCTTTTTTTCCTCTCCAAAGAAGTTACCAAACAAACAAAAAAAATTGTACTTAAATAAAACTTTGAAGATCATATTGGGAGCACAGATTTTTAACTAGCTGATTAAATGTGTGATGGGGGCAAAGAATTTCTTTTTTTTTTTCTTCCCTTAAAACTTTTCTGTAGGTTTTTTTTTTTTTTTTGCCTCAAGAGGTTTTGTTAGACAAGGACTTGCTCTAAGCCTGTCCAGGAGTTCTAGGTGCCTTGTGTTCTTCTTTCATGAAAATCATTTTCTCATTGGCTCTCTCAGTGGTGGAAATATTTATAAGGGACTTTTAGTTAGCTAAGTTGTCACCTTAACAGTGAAACTGATGTATTTGAGGAGTGTTATTTTAATCAATTGCTTGTAGTAAGAGTTTCACTGTATATCTCTTTATTGTCAGAAGAATAATATAAATGTTATAAATGAAATTGTTCAAGGAAGATGAAAGGAACGTTTTTTGAATTAGTGTATTTTGTATCATGCAAAATGTAGACTCATAAATGTTTCACTTTTCTCTCTAGGAAAAAATTGACATGTCTAGATTTTCTGTTGAAAACATTAGAAATTTCAGTATCATTGCACATGTGGATCATGGCAAAAGTACTTTAGCTGACAGGCTCCTGGAACTAACAGGTATTTTCATTTTATACTATATACTCAATTGATGACCATGAGTAATTAATCATTATTTTTACCATGTTTTTGAAATTCTGTTTTAATTTAATTTTTATTTAAAACTTTTTTTTTTTTAATGTTTACTTGTTTTGAAAGAGAGAGAGCTTGAGCAGGGGAAGGGCAGAGAGAGGCAGAGCGAGAATCCCAAGCAGGGGTTCACAAACCATGAGATCATGACCTGAGCCGAAATCAAGAGTTGGATATTTAACTGACTAAGCCACCCAACTGCCCCAGTTATTTTAATTTTGTATGCAGTACTGTGTCATTTTTAAAAGCTCATACAGGGGCGCCTGGGTGGCTTAGTCGGTTAAGCGTCCGACTTTTGCTTAGGTCATGATCTCGCGGTTAGTGGGTTCGAGCCCCACGTTGGGCTCTGTGCTGACTGCCAGCTCAGAGCCTGGAGCCTGTTTCAGTCTGTGACTCCCTCTCTCTCTGACCCTCCCCTGCTCACGCTTTCTTTCTCTCTCTCTCCTAGAAATAAAAATAAAAATCTTTAAAAAAAAAAAAAAAAGGCTCATAGAAATATAAGTACTATTTCTATTTATAGGCACAATTGATAAAACAAAAAATAATAAGCAGGTCCTTGATAAATTGCAAGTGGAACGAGAAAGAGGAATCACTGTTAAAGCACAGACAGCATCTCTTTTCTATAATTGTGAAGGAAAGCAGTACCTTTTAAATCTCATTGATACACCGGTAAGTTTAGTGTTAATTTTGTCTTTATTATTAAAGTTAGCCTTGTATTAAGAGAGCAAATAAATCCTTGTTCAGTTTTTGAACTGAACATTAAATAAGCATTTAACTTTCCTTTTTGCTTTCTCAGTGTTCTTTTGTTTGAGTAAATTGCTTCACAAGCATAAGCTTAAAAGAGAAACCTATTAACTTTTTATCAAGTGGAGTCAGTCGGTTTGCCATAAAAAAATAATTTATCCCTACCTTCAGAAGTATCAATAATTTTTGTTTCTCAGGGCCATGTGGATTTTAGTTATGAAGTATCCAGGTCCCTCTCTGCATGCCAGGGTGTTTTACTTGTGGTTGATGCAAATGAGGTAGGTACTTTTAATTTTATGTGGTGTGACATGCTATCTGGTTGTTTCAGAATATATTTTGGAAGTAGAATTTTAATGTTTGAAAGTAAGATTTATTGTATTAGTTAACCAGAATCATATGCTTTGGTCCTGTTAATTTGAAGTTTTATTGCACTAAAGCAGTCTGAAATTGAGAGTACATATTTTAAACATTTTATGCTAATCAGAAGAATTTTTTAAGGGATTTTTGAAGTATATCATACTATACATTTATCCTACCAAAAACTCAATTTATAGAAGTTCTTAATTTGGGCCTTTGATATTAATTTTTAGTTTGGTAATTTTAAGGTAATAATTTGAGAAATGTTAAGTTTAAAGAAACATGTCAGTAACATTACTGAGTTCTTTTGTGGTATAAAGATAAACATAAAAACATATTCAGTGATGATGTAAGAGCTGTGATATACTATTTAAAGTAAGTATTTGATGTATTTCAGCTTCTCATAAACTTTTCATTCAAAACCCAAAGATAATTTGTTTTGTTAAACTTTGCTTGATCTTGTCAGAGAAACTTAAGGTCTACCTTATATACAGAGGTAGACGGCACTGCATGACTGTGTCCTTTGCTAAGCTTTTGGGGTTCACGTTTCATGTTTTTGTCCCCAGTCCTAACAGTGTCCCCCAGTAAACATTTCCTGAAATAAAAGGAATTTTCACAAGGAATCATCCACGGGCATGGAAGTATAGATTCAATAGTTTATACCCTGCTTTTGGTGAAGATGTGTGGAATGGTGTTATATTACAAGTTTTATGATAGATGGTAGAATGGTCATCTCAGTGTCTTGTGTCTTGATATTTCTAGGGTATTCAAGCCCAAACCGTAGCAAACTTCTTTCTTGCCTTTGAAGCACAGCTATCGGTAATTCCAGTTATAAACAAGGTAATTCCAATGAGACAACAATGATGTTTACTATTTTACTTTCTAAAAGTAAATTTAGTGTTTGATTATTAAGTATATTTTTTTATATGAGCAATCTTTAATTATGTATTAAATATATCAGTAGGATTTACTTCTTTGAATTGCTCATGACTGAATTGCAACTCAAATTCCTATATCCTTACATGTAGTTTAGAAGACAGTCTCCCTGAAATACATGGAGTGATTGGGGGCTATTTCTGCAGGAAAGGAATGCAGGCAGGGCAGCCAGAATACATCTGTTACACTGAAGCATAGATAGGAGGGGCACCTGGGTGGCTCAGTCAGTTAAGTGTCCAACTTCAGCTCAGGTCACGATCTCATGGTTAATGAGTTCGAGCCCTGTGTTGTGCTCTGTGCTGATAGCTTAGAACCTGGAGCCTGCTTTGGCTTCTGTGTCTCCCTCTTTCTTTGACTCTCCCCAAGTCATGCTTGCTGTCTTCTCTCAAAAATAAATATTAAAAAAAATTTTTTTTAAATAAGGCATAGATAGGAAAAGAAAAGGCACTTATAATCTTGGAGCAACATTGTAACACATGAACCATAACAAGTGCTAAACTGAACACTGTTGATAAACCTTAACTTTCATACTTTAAAACAAATAGAGAACCTTAATTTAAAAATCTGCATTGCATTCAGTTGAAATTTTTGATATTGGAGTTAAATTTAAAAGAGGCAGAGTCACCTTATAGGTAAGACAGTTTGTTGTCATAAGTTATATGTAACTTATAAAGTCAGTTTATAGTTTGGTTGACAAATTGTTACTGAGCCCTCTGCCTTGAGTTGCCAGCTGCCTGAATTTTTTGCACGCCCTGCTATCTGCCCTTTGTTTTTCAGTGGCTATACTTGTTAACATTGTATTGCCTATATCGAGGTTATTTTAACACTGTTGAAAAGAAAAATAGATCATTTAGCTTATAGGTATGCTTTTAGCTATTTACAAATACTATTAATATGTATATTTTTACTGCATTAAGACATAATGATTTTTTTTTTTAAGATCGATCTGAAGAATGCTGATCCTGAAAGGGTTGAAAAACAAATTGAAAAAGTGTTTGATATCCCAAGTGATGAATGTATTAAGGTAAGATACCCTTTTTTTTGAAGACATAGTTATACTTTAAAAAATCTCAAGTACTGGGCTAAGTGAAATTTCGTAGTATATGATAGTCCATCATTATATAAAGTTTTCATAGTTTTACAGAGTTCTTTATATTTCATTTGATCCTCCCAGAAATTCTTGTTAGATGGTTATGACAGATAGGAATTAATCTTGTGATACAGTTGTAAGGATTTTTCTTAATGCTTATTATTTTTTTAAATTTTTTAATGTTTTATGTATTTCTAGGAGAGAGAGAAAGAAAGAGACAGCATGAGCAGGGGAGGGTCAGAGAGAGAGGGAGTCACAGACTCTGAAACAGGCTCCAGGCTCTGAGCTGGCAGTCAGCACAGAGCCTATGCGGGGCTCGAACCCGCAAACCACGAGATCATGACCTAAGCGAAAGTCGGACGCTTAACCGACTAAGCCACCCAGGCGCCCCATCTTAATGCTTATTTTTGAGGGGGGAAACAAGGAGGGGAGGGACAGAGAGAGAGGGAGACAGAATCTGAAGCAGGCTCCAGGCTCTGAGCTGTCAGCAGAGTGCCCAGTGCGGGGCTCAGAATCACAAGCTGTGAGATTGACTTGAGCCAAAGTCAGACGCTGAACCATCTGAGCCCCCCAGGTGCCCCACTTGTGATACAGTTGAAAGAACTAAGGCTCACCAACTTGACAATAAACTATTTGTAAAAAAAAAAAAAAAAAAAAAAAAAGAAAGAACTAAGGCTCAAAGATTTTATCCCATTTGTGAGACTACAGATCTAGAGAGCTAATGTGCCAGGACTAAAATGTAGTAGCAGTACTATTTCTTGGTAGCCATCTTGCCTCTATGGAAATACTTTCTTTGAAGAGCAGCTTCAAACAAATTTTAAGATATTTGTATGTGTTACATGTGGGGGAGAGGCAGGGAGAGAGAGAGCATCTCAAGCAGGCTTCATGCTCTGTGGAGCCCAACCTGGGGCTCTTTCTCCCTGACAGTGAGACCAGGACCTGAACCGAAATCAGGAGTTGTATGCTTAACCGACTGAGCCACCCAGGTGCCCCAGGTTGATACTAGTTTAATTTGAATTTTCATTTTCAAGTGATGATTTAAGTGTTGAATAGCCACAGCCAAACTGCTATGCTAGTGCTTGCATAGCATGTCAGTGCAAGTGTAATGTTTAACTTCTGCTTTCAGTCCTGTTTGATTTTTGAAAAAGTATGTTTCAGGTGATGAAGTGTTTTTGGTCTGTTTACCCTTAACACAGTGGATAATTACATACAACATGGTAATAACTGAAAAGCAATATTTTTTTTTCTTGGAGCCAGATTCACATATACAGAATTTAACATTTTTTATTATAAAAAGGATCGCATTATAAAGTGGTCCTGGAATTATGGTTCCATGACTTGGGTTATGTTATAAAAAGTATAATTAACTATTCTGATTTTAATACATCTTTACAAAGTTTATTCAGGTACTTATTTGGTATGTGTCAGCTAGGAGCACAGCAATGACAAGACTCCTGTCTCAGTTCATCAGAGAGGCCTCCCTAAGTTACTCTGCATCATATTGTCTGAGAAAAATGTCTCATTGTACTTACATTCTCCTTGGCAAGGCAGTCATTTAATAAGTAAAGAAAGAAGTAAGCATAATAGTAATTGAATAAGACAGGTGATGGGGCCCCTGAGTGGCTCAGTCGGTTAAGTGTCCGACTTTGGCTCATGTCATGATCTCACGGCTCATGAATTCGAGCCCCGCTTTGGGCTCTATGCTAACAGCTCAGAGGCTGGAGCCTGTTTTGGATACTGTGTCTCCCTCTCTCTGTCTGCCCCTCCCTGGCTCTCACTTTCTCTCTCTCTCTCAAAAATAAATAAACATTTAATAAATACATACATGAATAAGACAGGTGTTGCCAAGGATATTCATTCAACAAATTGTGTTGTTTTAGGTGGAATATCATACTTAACATCCACATATATTGTTTATTCTCTTCACACAACAATCTTGAATTTTAGGAAAAATATAAATAAACACTTATTAGATGAGGAACTTGTAGCTCAGAGAAATATGTGTTGGTCAAAGTCATGCATTCCATACAGAGTCATAATTGTTACTCAGATTTTTTTAAAACTCTTAGACCTCTGATCTTTCAACACCATAATCAGAATGCTTTTGTAATTTAATCCAAGGACTGTGGAGTCCCCTAACTCCACAGTAATGGAAGGACCCTTGACAGTATAGGATAAGTTTTGTGCTTCCTTTTACTACTTTCTTTAAAGTGATAACTGTTAGAACTCTTTCTTTTTTTCTGATTATAAAACCCGGTCAACAGGAGGGAAAAATAGTCTTTAAATGCTTATTTTTTTAATTTAGATTTCTGCTAAACTTGGAACCAATGTTGAAAGAGTTCTCCAGGCAGTCATTGAAAGAATACCCCCGTAAGTATTTCGCTATGTTTCTACTGTTTGTTTATCTTTAATAGTATAAAGGCTGTCAGTCTAATCTGTTGTTTTAGATTAGCCCATTCTTGTGGGTAAGAATAAAGTATTTATTTATCTATTATTATTTTTTAATGTTTATTTTTGAGAGACAGAGACAGAGCAAAAGTAGGGTAGTGGCAGAGAGAGAAGGAGACAAAGAATCTGAAGCAGACTGCAGGCTCTGAGCTGTCAGCACAGAGCCTGACCTGGGGCTTGAACTCCTAGGCAGTGAGATCTTGATCTGAGCTGCAGTTGGATGCTTAACTAACTAAGCCACCTAGGTGCCCCTATTTTTTAATAAAAAAAATTATTTATTTTGAGAGAGAGGACACATGCCAGTTGGGGAAGGGCAGAAAAAGAAGGAGAGAGAATCCCAAACAGGCTCTGCTCTGAGCCCAACTCGGGGCTCAATCCCATGAGCCCCACTAACTGATATCATGACCCAAGGTGAAGTCAAGAGTCAGGCGCTTATCCAGCTGAGCCCACCAGGTGCCCCCTCATAAATCATTTTAAAACAGTCATTTATTTAAAACTCAAGGTTGAATTAAAACTAATATAAAAATAGGCATTGTACTTTATAAGAAGATCTTTTTATCTTGGTTGTCAGTTATCAGCCTTTCTGAGGTACTAGAGTAAATTAAGCATAATATTTGAGTTTAAAAACATTTTATTAAGATTTTAATTTATTATGTGTATGTATGTTTTTCTTTTCTTTCTTTTTTTTTTTCAATTATTTTTAATAGTCCCAAAGTGGATCGCAAAAATCCCCTGAGAGCTTTGGTATTTGACTCCACCTTTGACCAGTATAGGGGTGTGATAGCCAATGTAGCCTTATTTGATGGAGTGGTTGCCAAAGGAGATAAAATTGTATCTGCACATACTAAAAAAATATATGAAGTTAATGAAGTAGGAGTTCTGAATCCTAATGAGCAGCCAACACGTAAACTGTAAGTAATCTGCAATAGTAATTAAAATACTTTTATATGTGTTTCTATCTGTGCCTTTCTCTGATCGGTATCCTTAGAATGGTTCCAATTTGGTTACTCGGGAAAAAAAAAAAACTGATTATTTAATGCAGTTAAATATTAAATGCTTTTGCAAAAGGAATTTCATGTGTGAAGGACAGTATAAATTTGATGTATTTTTATTCCTTTCAACTAATTGTGACAAATTGTATGATCGTGGTGCACATTGGGTGCTATATTGATATATTTGATGAGACAGTGAAAGAGATGGTTCTCTTATCCATATCATACTGGGTATCTGTTTTGATACTTCATTTCTTTATAATTAGATTTTTTAACATAAAAGTAGTAAGGCAAATTTGGTAATTCTTTTCTTTAGTATGAAATTCAAGATAATACTTTGATTAACTGGGATCCGTGGCATATGGGTTTAGTGTAAAACTGAGTTCTGAGTTCACTTACAAATATTTGGATGCCTACTCCATCAGTACTCCAGGTACTGATGAGATAAATCACCTGGCACATACTTGGAGCATTCTAAGGTCTTTGTTTCCTCATCTGTAAAAATTAAGGTAGTAAATCAAGTGACTACATAGGTCACACTTGATCGTTTAATGTTGTATGTCTAAAACTAGCTCATTACTTTTTTTAATTGAGTCATAAAATCTATTTTTGTTTTTTTAAGTGTTTTTAATGTTTATTGAGAGAGAGAGACAAGAGAGAGCATGAACGGGGGAGGGGCAGAGAGAGAGGGAGACACAGAATTGGAAGTGGGCTTCAGGCTGAGTTGTCAGCACAGAGCCCAATGCAAGATTCGAACCAAAGAGCCATGTTGGATACTCAACTGAGCCACCCAGGCCCCCCTAGTCATAAAATCTATTTTAATTTTACTCAAATTGAAGTCTGAGTTCCATTATATAGATCATACATTGACCATTACTGTATCTCTACTAAAGATTTTGGTACCTTATCGTAAATGTAAATTAATTATCATGTAGGAAATTTGCTTAAAAAAAGGAGTATAAGGTAAAAACGCTGAAATTTTGAGATTTGCTCTTCCTGTAACAGGAACATCAAATTGGTGTCAGATTTGTTTAAAAGATCACGTTTTTCTGCTTGGTTAAAAATTTATCTTTTTATTTTTTAGTATGTTTAGACACAATTCACTAATAAAATAGTGTTTTACACTATAAAGAAGTGTTTGGTGTTTCTGCACTCAGTTTTACTGTGTTTACATTATATTTTAGAAGCTGTTGTTTAATTTGCAAAGGTGGGCAGAGTCCTCAAGAAGACCATAGACTTGTTGTGTTGCAGAGGTCCTTGATAATGGATTGTAAAGCATGGTATGTTCTTTTGCTGACAATCCTTAGTGTTGAGAATTGATACGTAATACTTTGAATTAGATGAGGTTTCGTTTATAAAGTGTAATAGTTTCCTGGAAAGGTAGAACTAATTATGAGTATGCATTTGAAACACTAAAGCAGTCAATATTTCCATATAATAATTTTATTTAGATATGCAGGACAGGTGGGCTATCTGATTGCTGGGATGAAAGATGTCACTGAAGCACAAATAGGAGATACACTGTATTTACATAAACAGCCAGTGGAGCCCTTGCCTGGGTTTAAGTCAGCGAAACCAATGGTATTTGCAGGTGAGGAGCTAACAAATTCTAAGGATGAGAGCCAATTTATTATGTAAACTGAAATAAAAATTACTGGAAATACTCATTTTAAATAACAGCTAATCTAGAATTCTGTTTCTTTTAGATTTTTTTTTGTGTGTTATTTATGTGTATTAGTTAATTTCATATGTATAGTGAAATTTTATGTAGGAGATCATTTCCTAAACTTCTTTAGAACTTAAAAAATATAAGCTCTTAAGAAATAAGCATCTGTTATATTAATGAACATAATAATATGAATTTCCTTGTTTTCCTAGAGAGTAAGTCATTGCATTTGGAGTATTTTTCCTTTTTTTTTTGATGTATATTTATTTTTTACTTGGGGGAGGCAAGGAGAGAGAGAGAGAACATGAGGAGTGCAAGGAAGGTCAGAAAGTTAGGCAGAGTGAGGCTCTGTCTGCCAGTGCTGAGTCTGACATGGGGCTCCATCTCAAAAACCGGGAGATCGTGACCTGACCTGAAATCAACAGTGGGATGCTTAACTGACTGAGCCATCCATGCGCTCCTGGAATATTTTTCTAATTAGGATGTTTTTATCACTAATTATCAGTGGATGTTTACTGAGTGCCTTCCTGTTAGTTGGACTTTCTTTAATATTGTACAGTGCTAAGGGTGCTTGGTAGTTCAGTTGGTTCAGTGTCTGACTCTTGATGTCCGCTTAGGTCCTAATCTCATGGTTTATGAGATCAAGCCCGTTGTCAGGCTTCATGCTGAGCATGGAGCCTGCTTGGGAGTCTCTCTCTCTCTCTCTCTCTCTCTCTCTCTCTCTTTCTCTCTCTCTCTCTTTCTCTCTCTCTCTTTCTCTCTCTCTCTCTCTCTGTGTCTCTGTCTCTTTCTGCCCCTCCCTCACCTCAAAATAAATAAATAAACTTAAAAAATATATTGTTCAGTTCTAGTGTAGATAGGATGGGGGATAGTGTTACCTCTCCTATGTATAACTTCACAACCTTTTACTACTGTGTGGTATTATAGATATTTGAAAAAAACACCTGATTGAAAGTCATTAAGTTACTCTATGCTGGGAATCCAGCATTTGTTTTTCTCCATTTAGGATCCTACACTGGGAAGTGTCAAGTTTGTTTATACCCACGTTTAGACAAAGTCAGTCATATCTTTGGTTTTAATGATTATCTGCCCTAAGGAATTAAGAATTTGGTGTAGTTTTTATTTCTACTTCTGTTTTTTATCTACTAATGGAGTTTCATTTGTGGCTTTGGAATGTCTTCAACTTTTGTTTCTTGAAATATATTTTTCTTATAATAGGTTTAATTTTCATGGTTCTTTATTTTAATCATATATATATATATAAATGCTTTATTTATTTCTAAGAGACAGCGTGAGCAGGGGAGGGTCAGAGAGAGAGGGAGACACAGAATCCAAAGATGGGCTCCAGGCTCTGAGCTGGCTGTCAGCACAGAGCCTGACACGGGGCTCAAACCCATGAACCCCGAGATCATGACCTGAGCTGAAGTCGGATGCTTAACCAACTGAGCCACCCAGGTGCCCCTATTTTAATTATATTTTTGCAAACGTATAAAAACAACACATGGAGTGTGAATCCAGTTGTAAATTCATTAAGGCTTTGAAACTTACAAGATATTTTAAAGCCTGTGTAACTTAATATTCAGTTTTTTTTAGCCAACCAGTTATTGTGGTCAATGAAATATAGGGAAGTATATTTAAAAGGTAAATGATTAATTTTGATCTTAGAAGCATTGTGTATTTACTTTTCAGGCAGATTTTCACATGTGATAATTAGAAATCATTGTGTCCTCAGGAATGTACCCTGTAGACCAATCTGAGTATAATAACCTGAAAAGTGCCGTAGAAAAACTGACTGTAAATGATTCCAGTGTGACAGTTCATCGGGATAGTAGCCTTGCCTTAGGTGCTGGCTGGAGGTAAGATTCTACTACACTGTAGTGTCGGAATTTTATTGAAAAATAAAGTTTAAGTGGTTTATTGCTCCTGTACATTTGATTTCTAAGGATAAGTTCTTGTTAGTGTAAACTGGACTAAAAGAACCATCTGCCTGTTTTACACTGTATTCATGTCCTATGGGTAAGTTTTATAGCAATTTTAAATAGAATCCCAATAGAAATTTTGGATCCTATTTAATAAAGTTTTGCTAGCATTTAATTATGATGTGAATTGGTTGAATGACTTTTGATTCTACCCCTCCTCCACAAATTAAGACTATATTCATCAAAGACCCTAAAGCCCATGAGACATAAACATTTTGGAGTTTGGCTTTTTCTCCTCCAGGTTGGGATTTCTTGGACTTTTGCACATGGAAGTTTTCAACCAGCGACTAGAGCAAGAATATAATGCTTCTGTAATTTTGACAACCCCTACTGTTCCATATAAAGCTGTTCTTTCGTCGGCAAAATTGATAAAGGTACTGTTGTGAACCAGCGTACCTGGGAAAACTAAATACGTGTGTGTATATGCAGAACCCGAGAGAAACTTTTTAGTACACCATTAGCTGAGTAGCTATTATGTGAGCTATTTCTTCATTAGTAGACATTAGAAATTGAAGTACTTTATGACTAATGATAAAGAAGCCACTTAACTAATCTACACAGTATTTTCCTTAACCTGATAAAAATCTGTATATTGTCAATACAATAATCTATTACTGAGAATAAAAAGTAGAATTAGTTATAGAATTAGTAGATTATCAGTACTCTGTTACTGAGAATAAAAAGTAGAATTAGTCATTTAAATACTATTCAAAATCCAGCACAAAAATGAAGAATATAATTTTGGTCATAAGTGATTTATCTTGTGAAAGGTGAAGCTTTTATTGCTTCCTGACTGTAGGAAATTTTAGATTTCAGGTTAATGATAGAGACAATGTTGTATTCCATCTAAGTGGCAATATATTCTAAATAAATTTTAACGTTGGCATCTATAAATATTTTCCAACAAAATTAACTTAGGAAGCTAATGCCTTATAATGGGTAGATTAAAATGTACCTTTACATCATACTATTTCTAAGTGGTACATGAGATGTGTTTAGTAAATGTTAATAAACAATATATTATGAAAAAGTGTTATTAAGTGGTTATAATTGGATAGTTTTAAAATATAAAGCATATTAAAATAATAGTCAACCTTGAGGAATTATTTTGTTTTTATTCAACAAATGCAATAACAAAATAAATTCTAACATACACTGTAAAAATTGCAAATTTTAAAACATGTTAATTATTAAGATCTTTTTTAGTTATTGGCAATTTTTCTTATTTTTAGGAATACAGAGAAAAGGAAATTACAATCATCAATCCTGCACAATTCCCTGATAAGTCAAAAGTAACAGAATATTTGGAGCCAGTTGTTTTGGGTACCATTATCACACCAGATGAATATACTGGGAAAGTAATGATGCTTTGCCAGGTATAAATTTAATATAATTTAATATTAAAGTAAATTTTAGTCCTCCCTAACTGGTTCCTGCTCGGGATTTGAAAGATTTCCTTCTGCAGAGCACACTGAATTTATAAGATATTTTCACAAAGGTCTTATCTACATGTGTATATATAAAGAGAGAGGTGTATAGATATCTATACTTTTAAAATCTGTTTGGTTTTAAGAGAAAATAGAGTTGCAATTTTTATCATCTGTAAATTTACTGAGTTGATAGTTTAGCAAAGGAAAGAAGCTTGTTGCTTACTTATACTGACTGTTGAAAAGAATAATTTTTTTAGCTTTTTTAGTACTTGAAATTGAGGATAGTTTCAAAGATACTATAATACTTGAGGAGACTTTTGACTGAAAAGTATTCCGTTTTGCCTTAGTTTTTGCCACACTGTAATAAATGACTTAATCCACAAATCAGAGTCTTCAAAAAAACCTATTTGAAATACTCTGACATATATTGGAAAGAACTCTCAAATGATTACTATTGGATTTGCACTTCAATTTTGTAATCACAAACTAGAAAACTTTGGTTAGTCACTTAATTTCTTTGGACCTAAGTTTCTTTATTTGTAAAACAAGAAATTAGAACTTTGACTTTATCTGTAGTTACATTTGGTTATTTTTATATACTATATAATTTTTAAAAGATCAAATTGTTAGATAAAGACAAAGGATTAAAGCTTTGGTAATAAATATGTTATATACAAATAGTCCTCTGTATTATAAGTATTTTTTTGCAAGTTTTTGGTAGACCATTTAAAGAAATACTCTTTCATTTTGCCCACTCTTTATTAGGATTTGTAAGGAAATTTTTAACCTCTTTCCATATTCATTTTAAATTATTTAAATAGGTTATTATTAAACACATTTTTTGTTTTTTAGGCTCGAAGAGCAGTTCAGAAGAATATGATATTTATTGATCAAAATAGAGTTATGCTTAAATATCTCTTCCCTTTGAATGAAATTGTGGTGGATTTTTATGACTCTTTGAAATCCCTGTCTTCTGGATATGCTAGGTAAAAATTTAATGGAAAATTCAGATGCCTAGACAATTCTTTTGAAATACTGACCAGCATGAGTATTCTAATACTCTAGTTATTTAGTAATCTCTGCTGTCTTGAAGATAGTTGAGAAACCACTCTAAGGACAGAAAGGCTTGGAGCAACTGTGTCAATGTTAGAGAGTCTCATAATTTGGTTATGAATGAATGAGTTCCTTTGCTTCATCAAGCTATTAGCCTTATTTTAGGAAAAATAAAATTTGTAGTATCCCCTTCATAAAAATAGTGTACTCCCCCATTCCCTTAGAACTATATGTAATTTCAAGAAGCTGCTGTGATGGGGGGACCTGGGTGTCTCCATCAGTTAAGCGTCCAACTTCAGCACAGGTCATGAAGTTTGTGAGTTCGAGCCCTGTATTGGGCTCTTTGCTGACAGCTCTGAGCCTGGAGCCTGCTTCAGATTCTGTGTTTCCTTCTCCCTCTGCCCCTGTCCTGCTTGTACTCAGTCTCTCTCTCTCAAAAATAAGTAAAATATTAAGGAAAAAAAAAAAGGTACTGTGACCTCAGTGGCCCATTTAATACGTATTTGTAGTTATGTAATCCTAGGAGCACCTGTATACAGTTGGAAAACAGAAGTATATATTTAGTCTGTAAAAAATGGTAGGTGTGCCTTTGTATCTGTGAACAGTTTAAAAACTTGTTCTTCCCTGGAGTAAGTGATCCACATTATGAAAACTGTGGTCTCATCCACAGAAGCACATGAGGAACAGCCCAATAGAAGTGCAGGAAGACTTAATACTAAGTAACAACTCAATGCATAGCATTTTGGGAATAGTTTATGTTGGGGTAAATAACTCTAGATGCTCTTAATATCCTGAAATCTTAAATTACTGGATAGCATATATTGGAATATAAAGAAAGAATAAAATATGCTGGGGAAGTAGAAGGGAAAATGAATATTCACATCTGTAAAGTACACATTCAAAGAAAAATTACAGTATTCAAAGAACATACTAGAGTGACCTGGAAATTTAGCTTTATGAAATGAGCTTTTTAATGAAAAAGTCATTATAACTCTTGATACAAAGGAATATTCTTTGAGTATGTTTGTTTTCAGAAATTATGTTTTCTACTTTGTCACCCAATATTTTTCTTCTTTGTCTTCTTTCAGACATGAACAAATAAGTGGCAATGGGATTTAAATAAAATGAATTGAGGCAGCATGTTGTTAAACAATTACTGTAGTTAAAAGATTACTTAGTGGTTATAAATAACATTTTTAACGAAAGCCTGTCCATTGTAGTTTGCATTTGGATACCACTGTGTGACTTAAGTTGTCTTAAAATCTTTTAGTTTAGAAATCTTAAATCTATTTCAGATTAAATGAGAGAACACGTTTAATTTTGAACTATTTAAAATAAAATAATATCAGCTTCCAGAATTAAGGTAATTCTTATGTTCAGGATGGATCTTTTTATATGCAGTCAGTTCCTAACTTAAAAAAATTTGTTGGGATTTGTGACCTAGCTTAGGCTATTGGCATCTTGTGGATTGAGATTGAACAATTTCTCTTACATCAAGTGGTAAGACTCTTCTGCAGCTGAGTCAGAAGAGGGAGTTCCTTTATATAAAGACTGGATTGAAGCTGCTTCTGATATTTAATTTGATAGACCTGTTTACCCTTAAGCCCTAAGTAGCCTTTTGGAGTTCAAAATGTGTTTCCTTCATTCCAGTGGTACACTTGAATGAATATTTTGAATAGAGGTTATGTTTCCATTGGGCTGGCTTGGATATACAGACATTTGTATAAGGGTTTCTTTTGAAAAAATGACTGAAGAAATTCTAAGTTTTTGGAGCACAGAACATTTTAAAGTTGTAAACAGGTAAAGTCTAGGGACTATGTCTAAGTCTTATCTCTTTGTGTTCTGCATAGTATTTATAATGGTATAGAGTAAATGCTTAATAATATTTGTTGAAGAAGGGATTTTAATAAACTTTACATAATACTCTAGTTTTAGAGAGTATGAGTATCAACTTGTGACCTTTCTTCTAAAATCTTTAGAAACCAAACATTTGCAACTCTAGGCATCAGTTTGTTTTCAAATTAAGACTGTCATGTTCTTATCCATAACTGAAATGACATGTAAGCATAATTAAAGTATTCTTTCTCATTAGACCTCCGTTTTGTAAGTTAACCCTGTTTTAATTTAGCCTGATAAGCTTTGACCGTATTGTTTAATAGTAAAAGCTGACACTAACCAAGTGCTTCTATGTGCTAAGCTAGGCTCTGTTCTTGTTCTTTTTCTTTTTCTTTTTTTTTTGTATTAAGTACTGTTCAAATACTTTACATGAATTAATTCATTTCATCCTTAAAAAAGCAGATTCAAACTCAATAGCAATATATAAAGTCAGAAAGTCTTATTTATGATGACTGTTTATCAATGCCATAACGTTTATTTAACTGGTAATAGAAAACTAAACAGAAACTCAAACTTAATGAAACTCTGAAATTAATATACACTGTTGTCTGCAGCCAGCAGCGGTTGGGAGGAAACTGGGAAGAATGTGACATTTGCCTTCATCGTCCCATTTTCCTAGACTGGCTTACCAATTTATTTTCCTTTCCCCTGTAAAGCAGATTCCCTTTACTTCTGCCTCTCATTTCATAAATGTAAAAAAAACGAGAGTTTATTCCCCACTCTGGTTATTTAGATCTGTTTATAGGAAATGTATGTGTAATATTTTGATAGAATGTTGGGTGGAGGATATGGGGAGAGGTAGAAAAAAGATGTTCTGCAAAGAGAAAAAATCTTTTGGGAAGTGTAACATTTATCTGTCACTTGGATATTTTTTCTTTATAGTTTTGATTATGAAGATGCAGGCTACCAGACTGCAGAACTTGTAAAAATGGATATTCTGCTGAACGGAAATATTGTAGAGGAGCTAGTAACTATTGTTCACAAGTAAGTTGAATAGAAATTAGCATTCTCAGAATATGAAAGTAATCACTTTTGACATATTTTTAAATTATTGATCATTTTTACTTGACACCAACATTTTGAAAACTTAAAAGTAATTAATTAAATTTCCTTGTACTAGTTTCTCCTTCCATTCTTTTTCCATGCTTTTTCCAAACTGTTAAATATGAAAGAAGAGGGGGCGCCTGGGTGGCTTAGTCGGTTAAGCGTCTGACTTTCGCTTAGGTCATGATCTTGCGGTTCGTGGGTTCGAGCCCCGCGTCGGGCTCTGTGCTAACTGCCAGCTCAGAGCCTGGAGCCTGTTTCAGAGTCTGTGACTCCCTCTCTCTCTGACCCTCCCCTGCTCACGCTGTCTCTCTCTCTCTCCTAGAAATAAAAAAAAAAAAAAAAAAAACATAAAAATAAATAAATAAAAGGATATTTCCTCAATTTAAAAAAAAAATATGAAAGAAGAGAATTATGATAGTCAAAAAGGGTAGTGTCACAAAAAGAAATGTTTTCCTCTTCAGCGTAGGACAAAAGAAATGGTTTTTAAACTTTATGTTAGATTTAAAATTGAGAACAAGTTTTTCTCTTCATAAAAAATTGTAGTAATGAAAAATGAAATACCCTACACATAGAACAAATAGATTGATAAAAAAATGGAGCACTTGTTTAATAATCATGTTATGTTAAGTCATTTTAAAACAGTATTCTGGAGTACTGTTAAGTGACAAAAATGCCTATTAAATAAAAAGGCAAACATATATACATTCTGATCCAAACTGTAAAATAACAAATATGTATGCAGAAGAATAACTGGATGGATATATGTTTAACATAGACGTTCTAAAATGTTTAACATTGGTTTTCTATGGGTGAGGGGAAGCGCATCAAGAATGGTTTTTATGTATTTTTTTATAGATTTTTTGTAATAGCATATGTTATTTTTGCAATCAGAAAAGTCATATCATTCAGAGAGTAATAAGCAGTATTTATGACAGGTGAGTTCCATTTGACTTCCTTAAGAAATTACCTTTATTGGGCGCCTGGGTGGCTCAGTGTCTTTTTTTTTAAAAAATTAATTAATTAATTTTGAGAGAGACACAGAGCACAAGCAAGGGAGGGTCAGAGAGAGAGAGAAAGAGACACAGAATCTAAAGCAGGCTCCACTGTCAGCACAGAGTCTGATGCAGGGCTTGAACCCATGGACTGTGAGATCATGAGCTGAGCCAAAGTTGGAAGTTGAGTCCACTGAGCCACCCAGGCACCCCAAGTTCAGTCTCTTATCTCTTGATTTCCTCAGCTCAGGTTGTGAGTTCAAGCCCTGAACTGGGCTTCACACTGGATGTGGAGCCTGCTTTAAAAAGCAAATAGATTAATCCAAAAAGAAAGAAATCACCTTCAGGTTGATTATACATATAGACTAGAAAGCTACTTTATTATTATTTTTATTTCTGAGAGAGCAAGCATATGCAGGGGGAGGGGCAGAGAGAGAGGGAGATAAAGAATCTGAAGCAGGCTCCATGCTGTCAGTGCAAAGCCTGGTGTAGGGGTCAAGGGCTGAACCAACGAACCATGAAATTAGGACCTGAGCTGCCAGTGGACACTTTACCTATGGAGCCACCCAAGCGCCTCTGGAAAGCTATTTTAAATGTTTGTATTAGGATATAAATAGTTGAATTTTCTCTCTTAGAGACAAAGCACACTCTGTTGGCAAAGCAATATGTGAACGTCTGAAGGATTCTCTTCCTAGGCAACTGTTTGAGATAGCAATTCAAGCTGCTATTGGAAGTAAAATCATTGCAAGAGAGACGTGAGTTGAAATTCATTTTTGTTCCCTCTTTTAGAAATGATAAATGGTTAGAAATGATATGACTTGAAAATGAAATAATACTGAAAAATGTAACTTCTCATTGGCCTAAGCTTTATTCCTACTTGGGGAAATACTAATCTGATTTTTAATTCCATTTAATTAAGTGATGACTGTTGTAATGATTTACTTAATTTAACATTTTAAGCTATATTATTTATAATTATTAATATCATGGACATCGGTTTGAGGAATTGCTTTATTTCCATTCATTTTACTGAATGACTACTGAATTTCCTGTTAGGAATAGTTTATAAGCTTCTAGCAACTGAAACTTTTTAAGAAGCTTTGAAAAGAAAATAAGGAATTGTTGGAGATATTCTTCCAAAAGACAAAATTAAATTATAATTTTTACTCAAAGCACTTAATATTGCTTCCTCAGAGTTAGCAGAATTATAAATCAGAAAGATGAGAGAAGAATGCTAATATGTTAAGCTTGCATTGAAAATTATGTGATTCAGTAGACATGGAAAACAGGCTAATTTATGTAGGAAACTAGTCTTTTTTATGATATGTGATCTATAAATTGGGACACGGAACAAGCTGCTCTACAAGTAACAGTTGGAGCAAGAACTGTCTGGTAGCCTGTTTCCTTTCCTTGGCTTCTGGGAAATCAGAAGTGGTCCCCAACTGAAAATTGCTATTCAGTTGTAGTTTAAACCCAAAGTTGCATGTATATTTTATGCCTGTATTTGTAATGAATTTTTCTTTCCTAACACAATTTTGCTTTAGTTAATTGTTTGGGTTTCATGAATACCCAGAGAGTGGTCAGGAATTGATAACCAGAGAACATCCTGGAAAGTGCCATTTAAAATAGCAAATAATTCTAACATAAGTGTGTTGAAGTAGAATACCTTAAAGGAAAAAAAAATATTTTTATATCTTATGGAATATGTATAAATGGAGCTTTTTTCAAATTTCCTGTCCTCCAAACGCTATAGAAATTTCTTAGATCTTTTATCCTGTTAGAAGCACTATAGAAAGATTAGTTTATAACTGCTTGGGTGGATATATTAAAATTATTTAATTTGCCTGGAAAAGAGTTTTATAAAACAAATATATTCTTTGTATTCTTAGTCACTTGTAACCCATATCCGGTAGAGTTAATGATGCAATGGTAACCATTGTTTTTTGGAAGTAGTAGTGGTTAGAAGTAGTTTTAGGTTGAGCCAGAAATGACCTTGTATAATTCTTATAATTAAGATCATACTGGGTTTGGATTTGGCCTAATCAAGACTACACAGAAGTCTTGACCTTTTTTTATTCTTAATAAAATTTATGTTGATGTTCATACTGAAATCATTTTTTATTTTAAGTCAAATACATCAAAATTCCATTTTGATGTATTTAAATACAAAATACATTGAATACATTGAATACAAAAGCATTTGAGCTAATTTTACTTAAGTATGACATAATCATTTAAATCTTTAGTAAAGGAGAGATTATTTTTGAAATAAAGTACTTTTAAGGAGTAATGAAATTATGTAATTCTTAAGTATGACATAATCATTTAAATCTTTAGTAAAGGAGAGATTATTTTTGAAATAAAGTACTTTTAAGGAGTAATGAAATTATGTAATTTTTATATAAAATTTCTTCTTTTACAGTGTGAAAGCCTATAGGAAAAATGTTTTGGCAAAATGTGTACGTATCTACCTTTATTCTACTTTGAGTAATAGATCTCTTTTATGAGCTTAAAATCAAAGCTGTCAGCAGAGAGCCTGACGCAGGACTTGAACCACAGACTGTGAGATCATGACCTGAGCCGAAGTCAGATGCTTAACCAATTAAGCCACCCAGGCTCCCCTAGTTTTCTTATTAAATAGGTCAATCTCCGGTTGACTAACATATTCATTTTGATAGCTTTCTCATTTTTCCATTTTATAAAAATTTCCTTATATTAAGTATTGTGTAAGATAGTATTTTATAACAGTTATGATCAGAATAATATTATTGACCTAATTTTCAAGGAGAGATTTTGAAGGCAGTGACTGTATCTTATAGTAGGAAGAGTATGGCAGTTTGAAATCCACCTCTCTTACATTGCTCTGTTGAGGTGTCTTATCTGTTAAAAAATTTTAACTCATTTATGAGAACCAGTAAATGCTTTTAACCAGTAAATGCTTTTTCTAAATCCTTAGTATAGGGACTGGCACATTTGTCCCTATGTGAGTTTATTGGACTACAGCTATATGATCCAAAATTTTAAGACTTGAATAGGTAAGAGGATTAATAATTCTTCCTTGATATGCATAACATAGTTCTGGGTTTCATTGGTGAGTTTCATCACCATCCAAAAAATAAATAAAGCCTTTCTCATTCTTTGAGAAGATGTTAAATCTATGAAGGGGATTAGAAAGGTAACTTTGCAGATATGTATCTCATGGGTAATAACTGTAAGGTGATGGTAATTGTGTTGATGTCTGTATGTAATTGTATGATTTTCTATGGAATGATCCGTTGGACTTTGAATTTTTAAAAATATTTTTCAGTATGGTGGTGATATTACCCGAAAAATGAAACTTTTGAAGAGACAAGCAGAAGGAAAGAAAAAACTGAGGAAAGTTGGCAATATTGAAGTTCCAAAAGATGCTTTTATAAAAGTTCTGAAAACACAATCTGATAAGTAATTGGTGGGGAAAATATAATGAATTTTCATAAATTAAAATTTGTATCTTTTTTTCTTAGTAAATGTGTATGTTGACAACAGAAAGAAAATTATAAAATTTACTAGTTGCTTTCAGGGATTTTGGGTTTAAATAAACTATTAGCAGAGGTGCCTGAGTGGCACAGTCAGTTAAGGGCCTGACTCTTGATTTCGGCTCAGGTCAGGACTCCGTGGTTCATGAGTTCAAACCCCTCAATAGGCTCTGTGCTAGCAGCTCGAAACCTGCTTGGGATACTCTCTCTCCTTCTCCTTCTCCCCCTCCCTACTCATTCTCTGTTCCCCCATCCCCCAAAACAATAAACATTAAAAGATAATAACCTACTAGCTTTTCTTTGAAAAGGAAGTAGCGGGTGGATAAAGAGCTTGGATTTTGAAGCCATATTGTCTGATTTCAAACTTTGTTCCACCACTCACTGGCGATGTAGAGTATCACTTAATCTCTGCTTACTCTTAGTAAAGTCAGGATTATACTATTATTTACCTCCATAGGTTGTTGTGAAGATTATGTTAGATAGTATGTTTAGAATATTCAGAACAGTATATGACACAGCAGTAAGTACTTAGTGAATCTTAACTATTTTGTTTTCAAGCATATTTTTTTGTTTATTTTGAGAGAGCAAGCACAAGTGAGCAGGGGAGGGGCAGAGATAAAGGGAGGGAGAGGATTCTGAGCAGGATCCTTACTGTTAGGGCAGAGACTCACACAGGGCCCCATCTCATGAACAGAGTTCAGAACCTGAGCTGAAATCAAGTGTTGGACGCTTAACTAACTGAGCCACCCAGACACCCCATGCATATTTTTTCTTACACTAAAAGGCCCCATACTTAAGATTCCCTCTAGTTCAAGCCCAAGATATTTTCAAAATCGCCTTATCAGTTTACTGTTAGCTGGATAAATTTAGACTTACAGGAGTTATTAAAATCAAATAGCATACTAGCTGGACGTATGCTGTTTAATTTTTGTTAAAACTTTTATAAATGTTTGGAACTAGATTTACATACACATCTAAATTAAAAACTGAGGTAGGAGCTGTCTTAATTTTTTTTTAGTTTTTTCTTGACATTTATTTATTATCGAGAAACAGAGACAGAGCATGAGCAGGGGAGGGGCAGAGAGAAGGGGAGACACAGAATCCGAAGCAGGCTCCAGGCTCTGAGCTGTCAGTACAGAGCCCAACGTGGAGCTTGAACCCACAAACTGTGAGATGGTGACCTGAGTCGAAGTCAGACGCTTGCTTGCTTAACCGATTGAGCCACCCAGGCGCCCCAGCAGCTGTCTTAATTTTATAATTAAAATGCATGTAGTGCAAAGTGATGGGTGTTTTGTTATTAGCAGCTGTTATTAATGACAGTTTAATAATTATCTAGATTTTGTAATTGAGGACATCGCACTTTAGTTAAGTAATACAGTTGAAGTCAAGCAGTAAATGGCCGTCATGCTTCAAAGTATGCCCTCTTAACTCCCATGTTTACCAAGTTTTTGAACAAATGAGAGGGCAGATTGTGTTACAGTGAGAGAAATAATTTAGCCATTTAATTTTGTCCTCTACCTTGAACACATTGAATGAGATCAGTGTCTTTTGGGGATAGGACTATCGATACATGTTATATAAGGTTATTCATTATGAAGTAATTCTAACTATAAGATAGGATTTACTTAAAATTGTGTATAGACTCCCTCTCTCTGACACCTCCCCTGCTCCCTCCCTCTCTCTCTCAGAAATAAAACATTAAAAAAAATTGTGTATAGAAGTTAATTACCCATGATTTTGTCCTTATATTAGGTATCTTTACAATCTCTTTTAGCTGTACTAGAACAGATGAAATATGAGATTCCAGAACAGTATTTTGGAAAATGGCAGTATATTTGAAACTAGAAGAGCATTTACATATCATTTGTAAAACAAAGTGTTCTATCACTATTGTCAGGAGAAAGAAATTGGTACCTGACATGAAGTATACACTATGTGTGTACTATTTAATATTGTGCTTTATTAGTAAGCATATATTTGGACACATTTAATTCTCTTCCTTTAAGCTCTTTTTAGGACACAGTTTACTTGTAGTAATAAAAAGTATTTTTCAAAATTTTTAGTATAAACTTAAGTTCTTTCCCCTGGTCACTCTTCCAAACATGATTTTCATGATTTAGAGGAGTATGCCTTCTAAGTGTATCCCCACTAGGACCGTACTATGCTAAGATTTTTGTAAAATCTTAATGTGAGTATTAGACTAGCCACCATTTATGGCATTTAATATGTGACAGCCATTGAGCTGAGCTCCATAGACATTGCCTCCTTCAATCTACACACAGTCAAGGTACAGGTACTATTACTGCCCTATCTTACAGAGCAAGCAGCTCAGACTCCTGCATTGCCAGTGTCATTGACCAACAGAACTAGGATTTAAACAGTTGTTTCCTTATCCAAACCCCACTAGTTCTTAGCTACCATATTTTATTACCTTGTGGAAATATCTAATAGGATGCTTAGTTCTTTACATAATAGCAGCTTGGCCTCTGAGCTAGGGAGCTAGAGTCACCAGAAATCAGTTTGTGTGAGGAGCTTCAGTACATGAGCCTAAAACATTTAAAGCACAGAAGTAACTGGTGAGCCATGCACTAAAAGGTATCTTTAGCTTTTTCACTATACTAGATCTTTCTTAGTTAAGGTAGTTTATAGTAACCAGTACAATTTTATTACCAGGTGTATGACTAGGAGGTGACACTGACATACTAGTTATTTAAAGACCATTTATAACACTTAAGGCTATTATAACTGCATTATCTGGAATTAAAGGAGCATATTTTATTCTAAACATTTTATTTATTTTTATGGACTTTATTGTTAATACATTTCAATCACATTTCAGTTAAGGTATGCTTAAGTATATTAAGTTATGTTCTTTTAGATGCAAAATGTGCAGAAGGGAACATTTTTTATTTCCTAAGGAGTGACTAAGAAATTATAGGTAGAATCACTGTCTTTTCACTTAGATCTCCAAAATGCATGGTGGCAACAAACAAAAAATAAATGCAGGCTCCATACACCTATTAATGTTGGAATTTCTCAGATGCATGTATTCAGTTTCACTTCTGGAAATAAAATTTAGATAGCATTTGTTTATTATAAGCTTTATTTGAGTTAAAGATAGAAAACAGTATAGTTTTATTTGCAGTTTAATGATGCAAGTTGTTAATGGCAATCTAAAATAGTTTACAGTAATTCCTTTTATGTATACTTTATCATGTTACCTTTTTAGACACAGGAAGCTAATCATTTATGAAGTTTAACAATAATCAGAAAATTGTCTTCAAAAGAATTTCCTTGAGTGTGTTGCTAAGTATAAAGTTCATAATTGCCAAAATACTTATTAAAAGCATGAACCCAAGTCATTAAATAAAAATAAGAGCACATTTGTAAAAAAGTGCTGTAGAAGGTGGTGCACAAAAATCATGCACTTATACATACTTTCCAAAAGGACGTAAACTGTACTTTTAGGCACTGTCATTTCTTCAGATTTTCTGTTCCAACAATATATAGCAGGACTTTTGATATCCAGATGCTACCGCAGGAAGGGGACTAAGGCAACCACGTGCAGAAAAGCTTGTGTGTAATGCAGAGAAAATACAAAGATTACATTCCAAAAGTAAAGGTTTGCAGTGATTGATACCTGAAAGGTGGAGTGTCTTTATATGATTAAAAATAAAATTCTTGAGAATGCCACCAGATTCATATGAATGATACTTGATATATATTCTTCACATTTAAAATGACTTGAAATTTTTAAACAGACATTTCATTTCTGCACTGTTTTATAGAGTGGCTATGTGGCTTCTGTACTTTACAATAACAGCTATTTGTGAGTCAACTACTTCTCCTAAACCTTAGTATAAAATGGACACATTGAAATATGGAATGTTTAACATATAGATAATTGGACTTCAAAAATGACAGTCTTCAAAAAATCCCCATGTTTTTTCATATTGCATAGCTGAAAATTCATCTACTTATAAAAGTGTTCTGTTCATTCAAGCAGAATTTTGCTCCAATCTCCTTCAGTTTCCTTCTTTCATACTGTATAGTGGATCCACAAGTTTATTGTGCACATGCATTAAACCTTAAAGAAAAAAAGCACAATTCTAGTTTTATTTTTAATTTTGAATTCTATCTCATTTACTTTAGAAAATAGAAGAGTTTGTAAGACACAATAAGTATGTTGGTTCCCATCTGATATAAAGTTTTATTGAAAAATGAAAACAGAAATGTTTCATAATATTTAGTTGTAACTACCTAGCAAATAGCAATGTAGTTATTTATGGAGCTGTAAATCTACAATGTAAACAGATTCTTTGGGAGTAACCAGAAGTAGAAGCAGTTCTGTCTTCAGAGCTTCAGTATGACAAAAATAACAAATCTGAATACTGACTTGATGAATATACTTTAGTAATATCTATAAGTCTGTTGAATTTGATCCTCTGGCATTTCCTCTACCGACTCCAGCTAGGGACTGAACTATTACACTAGGATAGCTTCAGTTCTCCAAAGTGTTTTACCCTATTCATTCATCTGGCAAATTATTTTCCATTATTTGGGCATGTGTGTTTACAGTAGGGGTGATAACAAGCCACAATGAAGGAAGTTAGTGAAAAAATCCATGGTACCATTAAACAGTTGAACAATCCATATTTACACGTTAACAAAGCAGTTAAACTTAGAATACAAGAAAAAAATAGAGCAGTCAATGCTGAACCATCTCTGACTCATAAGTGCTGACAATTCGGAAGCTGCCCACCTGGCAGAAATCAAGTACAGCCTTAACTCGTTGGATATAACAGAGCTAGAGACAGTTCAAGGAATCTTTGAATCTCCCACATTAATATATAAATTGTACATTTTTTCTGAGGACAGTCTCTTCACCAGATTTTCAAAGTGGCCCATGACCCAAAAAGTGAAGAGCCATGACATAGGAACCCTGGTTTTCCTTTTTGCTCTTAATACCTCTTAACACCTACATTCCATTTCACTTCAAGATTTTTAAAGTATAATTTGCCTGGCTGCTTCAGTGGGAAGAGCAGGTGAGTGTTGATCTCGGGGTTGTAGTTCAAGCCATACATTGGGTATAGAGATTTTTTTTTAAAGTATAATCTAGCCGTATTTTATCAATACAGTTTA